ATTATTAACATTTCAGCAGGAAACTTTTTTGCCTGGCTCTGATATTTGTTTTCATGCACAGGACGGGTGTTGTCTAATGTGGCCTGAATCTTATCTGACTGGAGAGTCTCCCCAGCCCTACTCATGCCCCAGCTAGGGCTGCAGCAGTCATGTCCAGTCACTGGTGATGTGATCATTGGGAGAATAGGAAGACAGGCCAGGTGTGACCAGGATTCTGGGATGCTACCAGCTGTCAGTCAACACTACCAGATGGGGGCAGAGATGCTTGTAATGGGTATGTCCTAGTAAACCGTTTTAGTCAGAATAATTAAAACTGCTCAGACAAATTACTTAAATTGCTCAATAATCTGTTTGCTCTACAAAGAAGCAGTATCAGGTAGCAATTAAGCACAAGGATTCTGAATTTGAGTGCACCTATGTTGAGTCATAGCTTCCTCACATACTATCTCTGTAACTCTTAGCCTTAGTGTTTCCTGTTGGTAAAGGGGGAATAATGGCAGGGTTGTTTTAAGGATTAAATGAGGTAATACACGTAAAGTATTTAGAGAAATAGCTGGCACATGATAGCCTGTGTTAATTATCTGTATGCTATAAGTTCCTGTGGAAAATAATTTTAAATTAAAATTAAGTCATAAAGAAAAAAAAATTAGATGAGTGAAGAAAATATGGCATAATATGAAGGACATTAGTGTCGGGTGGGATCTTATTGAACAAAGATTCAGAAATCCCTGTTCCATAAGATTGTCATTGAACTGAAATGTTTATAAAGTACCTAGAGTAAGATAGATCTCAATGAGAATTAGTTCCCTTTCCCTGTCCAATATCCTCAATTTTATTTATTTTGACTTCTTTTTAAATTTATTTTTCCTTTCATTTTTTAACCTTGATTCCTTCTATCTTCATGCATCAGATGAGTTGCCTAACCTGGCATGAATCCTGTCTGACTAGAGAGTCTCCCCAGCCCTGCTCATGTCCGTCCATCTGCCCGTCCGTCCTTCCTTCCTTCCTTCCTTCCTTCCTTCCTTCCTTCCTTCCTTCCTTCCCTCCTTCCTTCCTCTCTTCTTCCCTTCCTCCCTTCTTCTTTTCCTCTCTCCCTCCCTCCCTTCCTTCCTTCTTTCTTTCTTACCCCTCCTTTCTTCCTTCCCCACCCCCACGTCCCTCCCCATCTCTGTCTTTCTTTCTTTTCTCTCTAACTACTGATTGCTGGTTTCCTTCTCCATGCCAGGCACTCTGTGGATTCTTGGGATAAAGCTGGGAAACAAACCAACATTGTTCTAACCCTCTTGTAGTCTAATACAGGGAAAAGGTATTCATCAGATTACCTCGCTAATGAATGTGTAAATACAACTTTAGATAAGTGTTCTGAGCAAACAGAATGCTGTTTTGTAAGGGCATATGTCTGAAACACCATGCCTGTGAGAGTAAGAGAGAGTTTACCCAGCCCATAGGAGGGGAAGGGCATTTTCTGCTAAAGCAGTAACTCCTACAGAGGACCTGTGGCCAGAGCTGCCATTGTAAGAATGTGACTGAAGCTCAGGGAGGCAGGTAACAGAGGTGCTAAGGCTGTCTACTGGAGAGATTTCAGAGAACTAGAACAATATCTAGCAAAAAGTTGCTCTGCTTTAAAGATAACCAAACAGTATTTCATGATTTATTTCTAAATGAGAATTTTTTTCTTTTTGATTTACAGAGCCACACATTTTAAATATATAAAGGCTAGTCACTGATTGACCTGGAATATCCAAATTAAACCTATTTCTCTTATTCTGCATAAATTAATGTTAATATTATTATCAGTAATTGCCCCCATACATAGCCAAACATGCATCAAGAATTGTATGATTACTCTACGTAAAAATTGAAAAGTGGAATCATTCTTGACACCTTAGCTCCATAACTGCCAAGTAGACATACAAAGGAGTCTCAAAAATACGTGCTACAGATTAAAAATTAAAGAGACTGACAAAAGAATTAAAGAAAGCATAACCTCCATGGCGGAGAAATTCTGCTTTCAGTATACTAATTGCCTTTTAACTTTTCAGATTATTTTGGGGAAATTTGAATATAGAATTGAAGCTTCAAAAATATCTGAGCCTTCTGAGCAGAAATGCAGGTTTCTTTAAAATAGTTTTTCCTCCCGTGTTCACTGTGGTGCTGTGGGGACTCTGAGGAGATACGGAATGACTGTGGTAGAGGCACTATCTAAAGCTAACATGTCCAGTTTAATTTTGCTAAAAAGTTCATCACTTTGGCCTTGGCCTGCATCTGTGTGGATAAGCCTATTTGACTGATTTCAGGAAGAAAAACGGCTGTAGTTTCTGATGAAAAATCACCTCTTTGAAGTTTGTATTTCATTTTATACTGTATTTGGAATACTTGGCTAGATTTCACAAGCTGTTTAAACTTACAAAGCTGAACTGCTCTGAGGGGAGATTTGGAAATTAGATAATTGATTTGTTTTTTTATCCTTTTCATCATCATATCATTGATTCAACTAAAGAGGCAATTCAACATTAAAACAAGCACAATTTCTTTTTATCCACTACTTAAATGTACACTGCACTGTTAGTAATACATGTTATTTTCTCACCCTTTTTTAAATTAAATGTGTGGTTCAACCATTTTTCAAAAGCATCAACCTCTTACACAGTCACTGAAAGATGATCTTGCCCTTCCTTGTGCCATACAGAATCTGCATAAATACATCCTAAACTAAAGGCATTGTTGAGGATCTACCACTTCAGATGGGGAATTGAACTTAAATAATTTGCTAGTGTCAAATGAATGCAAAGCTGGTCTCTCTGTGATGAGGCTTATTTTTAGTTACTAACAATTTTTGTAGCCTAAATTACAGAAAGCAGCAATCATTTTCTAGTGCATCGGCTCTTAAAATTAATCAGGCAACTGGATTAATAATAGCATATTTTTGTTAATAACTTACAGAAACACCTGTACTTATTCACCAAAAATCTTCAAAATGATATTCTAGTCAAGCAGTGTCAAACTATCATTTGAAAGTTATTGAACAAATTCTAGGAGTAGGTTATTACTAAGAATGAGTTAAATAGCTTTTCAGTACATTCATTTGAGGAGATACAGTGGCATAGAGGTTAAGAGCAAAAGGTACCAAGTTAGACTACCTAGATTCCAACCTTAATTTCAATAGCCACTAGTTGTTTGATCTTGAACAAGTCTCTGGGCATCAGTTTTCTTATCTGTAAAATGGGAATGATGTTAGTAACACACAATGACTGCTAACATTTAGCTCCTACTTTGCACAAGGTACTGTTCTCCATAAGCAAGAGAGAGAATGACAGATATCACATGCCTAGCATTCTTCTAGGACCGATTATATATTTAACCTTCACAACAACTGTATAAGTCCCAGAGAGTATTATTTCCCCCTTTTTACAGATAGACACTTGGAAACCAAGAAGGTAAACAACTTGCCTGAATTTATCAGAGAACGTATCAGAACCTGAACTTAGACCTGGAACGTTAAACCGCAAAGTCTGTCTCCAACCACCACTTTAAAGTGCCTGATTCACACATCAATACATAGCTGTTATTTAGTGAGATTATATAGATAAACCACTTAGATCATCACATGGTTCCAGTAAATATTCATTACTATTATTATGTAGTATCTCCTTTATTGTGTTAAATACTTTCTACTAAGATTTTTTTTTTCCTTATACCATCTTTTGCCACATTTTGTGGGATTTGGTAAGATTATCTTGGGGTCAACGCATAATAAAAGGCATCACATGTTTTTAGTTTCTAGTAATTTCGTGCATCAGATTCTGAAACAAATCAAGGTCAGTTTTTTAGAATTATTCATTTTTTTCTACAAATACTTATTAAGCACCTACTACATGCCCAGTATTATTTCAGGACCTATTCTAAGGCATCAAGCAGAAAACAAGACAAAGGCCTGTCTCTCACAGAATTTACCTCCTCGTGAATCATTTTGTCATTAACCGAATTCAAACTTCAAGCTTTAATTCTGGGAAATAGTGCTACAACTAAAACTGAAATCTTCCACTGTTAAACACTTAGGACATTAGCAGGAAGATGTTTATGCAGCCCACAGCCCTCTGTGTCACTGGCCTTTTCTCATGGACTTAAGAAAACTGCTTTAGAGAAAACCTCTGAATAACCTGCCACCCACCTGTGGCAGCCTACCTCAAACCAGCAGCTGAAGGACAGAGCAAAGACATTCCAGGATCTCTGAGAACTGTTTCCATAAATAAAGTCCATTCAAAAACGATGCACTGATCATGTTTTTCTCCACTGGAACATGAGAGGATGTTTCACAAGTCACCCATTCTCCTCATTGCTACGTGGTGAAAGCCATGAGTTCCAAAATAGATGCTGAGGCTTTCAAATTCCTGAGGACAGAATTTGATTCTTATTCCCTTGTTTTTCTCTTGCTCTCATTCTATCAAAAAAACATTCATATTCTGCTACTATCGATATTTCATGTGAAATAATTATATTAGTGAAGATTATGTCCTTTGAACATACAAAGAAAAAACCCCATTATTGTAACAGTATTATTATTCAAGATGCTTTTTTTAATCATTTTATTATTTGAAGGGAAAATGAGCTTTAAAAAATGTAATTTCCTGCAAACTTAAGGGAAAAGTATGTGTTCTTTTCTCTATTTTTTTAAATCTTTTTTCTTTCTTTTTGTGTGTGTGTGTGCATGTGAGACAGTCTTGCTCTGTCACCCATGCTGGAGTGCAATGGCACAATCTGGCTCACTGCGACCTCTGTCTCCTGAGTTCAAGTGATTATCCTGCCTCAGCCTCCTGAGTAGCCAGGACTGCAAGTACACACCACCATACCCGGATAATTTTTGTATTTTGTAGTAGAGAAGGGGTTTTGCCATGTTGGCCAAGCTGGTCTCAAACTCCTGGCCTCAAGTGATCTGCCCGCTTCAACCTCCCAAAGCGCTGGGATTACAAGCGTGAGCCACTGTGTCCCACCTGATCTATGTATACATTGTGGAATGAACCTATCAAGCAAATTAACATATCCATGTTTCCTTATTTTACAATATTGGTGTAGAATATTCTTAAGAGATTGAGGAGGAGAAAAGAAGTACATATATTGCCCACTCACTAATTTTAACATTTAATCTAACTTAGGTCTCACAACAGCTCTGGAAGTAATCAAGTAACCCTCATTTAACCATGTGAAAACAGAGATTCAGGAGCGCCAAGTAACTGGCCCACTTTCACTGACACAGCAGAGCTAGGACTAGACCAGCTGTGTCCAAAGGTCATGTCTTCCCATCAACCACAATATTTTACTTCAGCAGAGGTCATGCAGATATCTGTAAAACCACTGCTTTTCAAGAGAAAACAGTTCTAAACAGCCTTTTATAGAACATAGTGCTATACATATCACATTCATATTAACATGAAAAACCATCTATATGGGTTCCTATAGTTCATCAAAAAACTACCACAACAATGTTAAAGCAATTATACCTTCCATATGAAGTGTTACATTTTAAACAAATTACTTGATGATTCCATTAAAAGGAATAAAAATAATGTAATTGACATAGATGAGATTAGCACCTTTCCCCATTCATTTTATGATATACCTTTTAAAGTCATCATCATCATCAAATAATATTTATTACACATTGTAATTCCTAGAAGAGCAGGATTTAGACTGAAAAACATAACTGAGTTACAAGCAAGACTTATTGCTTATTTAATGTATCATAGACTGCTATAGAAGTGTTATGTTTTATGTAATGATTAGGAAAATCTTTGCATTAATTTGTGGAAAAAATACAGAAAAATCAAAAGCCTACAAACATTTTTGTACAACTTTGAATTTAACTATTTCCCCTAAGAAACCAAAGATACATTTGTTTCTTCTCTGCCTTAACATTCAATCGAATTGAAAAAGCTAGGAGAAAAGGAAATAAATATGGATTTTTTTAATGGTAAAGTGCTTGATATTGCTGTTCATTATAACTTAACTATTAAACAACTTGCATAGAAATCTCAAAGTATCTCAAATATTTATCTCGTTTATAGCATATGGGAGAGGAAGATTCCTTTCTCTCATTTTCCTCCTATGATGATAAAGACCAGCAAGGGGATGTACAGGGAGTTTCACAATGACTTGTGTAACCAAGACCAATCTCCAGACTTTCGAGTCTGATGTCTTCCAGTCTGGCAGTCTCACAACTCTTCATGTTCCTAAGCTTTGTACTTTTAGTTTTCCACCAATGATTATTTTAGCCATATCTCCAGATGACTAACATGCATAGTAGCCTTTAAACCTAGTATTAACCACAGCCGTATTAGCAAGCTCACAGGGCCTTATATGTAGGCTCTCATGGATAATATTTAATAATGATGATGTACAGGGGGAAAAGGTAAAAAAATTGAAACTAATATATATGCTTCACTTAACATGCTATTTCTCCTGAGCTTTGAATATGAAATAGGCATTGTCTCACACTATAAATTTGAGGTCCGGCAGTTCTTAATTTACTCTTTTCATGCTAAGTTTGGAGTATCTAAAATTATTATCATCATAAAAAATTATTCAGACCATATAGAAGGACAGAGTTTGGACTGATAAACAGAGCTACAAGCAATACTTCTTGCTTACTGAATAGATTATTTTCCATTTTAACTACTGTAGAGGTGTTAAGTCTGTTCTTAGCCACTGGTTGGAAATATCTAAAGCTCAGCAGAATATCTCTAATGAAACACAAATGAAAGTGTTGAAGGTTTTCTTACTCTTAGTATGAGATTCAATTCTGATAGATTTAATTAACCACTCCATATCCAGAAACATTATCTGTTTATCTTTCTGCATTTCAAAATGCAAAAAAAGAAAAAAAAAAAGTTGATTTACCTTATAAAGAGATCTCATGGCGTTTATCTATATCTCTCAGTCCATCAATCAACATGTCTATCCAGAATGGCCATGTTTATTCTGTCAAATATTAAATAGTGAGTTTTAATATTACAGCAAAGGACATATCTATTTGGAAAGTTATACAGATAAGTCACACGAAGATAGAGAGTTTATAGTTCATTTTGTTTTACTAGAAGCAATTACAGAATACTTTAACTGGAACTTTGGCTTCTATACAGTTTAGATGCAGTAAAAATATTTTTAACAAACATTTGAAAAAAACAATTTTATGAAACTCTGAGAGATCCAATTATACAATGTTATGGAGAGATACTAACATGCTGAGGTTTTCCAGAACAACAAGAAAATCAATTAATGTAGCACCACATCAATTTAAAAAGCAATTTATCAACTTTTCCTACCAACTCAGGGTCAAATTTCATGGTGTCAAAAACTTAAAGTAATTGCTGGAATGAACTTTGATTAACAGTAGCACAAATTTGAAGGAAATGTGTTAAGGTTCCTTGAGGTCATTCTTATAAGACTAAGAAAAGGAAAATATATTGGCTTCACAAATGGCCAAGACCTTTTTAAAACCAGCTAGCTTACAAATCCAACTGACTTGTTGTTACCATACTACACAGTTAAGAATCATGAGAACAACTTGTTCCGAATCTTCTGGCTGACTCCCCAAGCAGAGTGAGCATTGAGTATCTTCTGTGATTAACATATAAACTGTTTTATTGAGTTTTGGCTTCCTTTCTCTCTGTTCCATGAGAGAAAAGAAAAGAAAAAATTCCTTTTTTCTTTTTAATAGATTTATGGTCAATATAAATTTTTCCTCTCAAGGTATGTATTTTGAGAAAAAAGAAAATGGACATTGATTTTATAGTATTTTTCTGTACTTAAATCTATACCCAAGTAGTATATGTTTTTATATTTTCAAAAAAGAATTCCTTATGTTATTATCTATATTTCACTATTTAGGTTATTTATTGTACTAATAGATTAACATATGCCAAGAGTTCATTTTCATTTTCTTTAAATGGATTCACAAAGGAAAGCCTGAAAGAGCTTGAGTTTTATAAAGAGAAGATGAAGATTTTACACATGATGACTTTAATTGATGTTAACAATATTATCTCCTTGAAATTTCTTAGGAGGGAAGCAGATTTGTGGATCAAAGGAGTTTTAAACATAAAACAAATGCACATGTACTGGATTGTTAGAGCCCCATTCTTTCTGAAAAGCACATTTTAAAAAATTTTTTGCTCTTTTTTGAATAGTATTGTTATTGGATCAAAATCGAAGTAGTGTTCCTTGATTGGCAACGTTCATATTTTTTTATATTCATTCAGGAAACAGCAGAAAAGAACACTTATTTTTAACTCATTAAAATTTAAAGTAAAGCTCAGACATGACATCTTTGGCTTTCTCAAATGGATGCTGAAGGCTGGAAAATTGAGCCTGGCTTGCACCTAGTATTAATTTTCTACAGCATTATATAAATCATCTGCCTGTGCTGTCTCACAGAAAATATGAATAGTGGAAAAATTATTTCCTCTTTTTGAGATATTGTGGCTTTTGGCTCTCCAGGTCTAGAGACAAAGGGTGCAAAATAGAATTACATGTGGCAAATAGCATTTCCAACCACGTTAAGTGGAACAGGACCCTTGGATCCACCATGTTGGAACAGAGCCTCCCATGCAAAGTCATTGACAAGTATGACTGTAAATATCCTTGTAATACTTTTGTGTCTCTCTCATTTCTTTAAAGTAGATTATGAAACATCAACATCAGTCAATGCAACATTTTTCTGAGCTAATACGCCATATGCATAATGTAGTGCCAATATTATAAACTGTTGAGAAAAATTTTAACCACGTGAGTATAGCTTTAAACATTTTCATATTTCACTCATTTTCACATATACCTCAAGTCAATGTTTGCCGATATTCAATTTTGGCATTTTTGCTCAAAAGGGCCAAAATTTTGCACTGAATAAGCATATGAATGAACATTTCTGCAATGGTTAATAAATTTTTCCATTCTTTTTCATAAATCATCATGGGAATAAAACTAGCTGCTACTCCCACCAAAATTACACTGGGAAGCAAGAATAACATTTCCCTTGCCCTTTCCTTCACCCAATAAACTAAATTTGTTTTTTAAAATAGTTATCAATTTAATACTATCTTTAATCATGAGAGAACAAAAGTTCCTTCCCCTTTAAAAAAAAATTCTATACCCTCTCAAATAGTTTTTTATTTAAAACTCTACCACACAATCTTTTTATTCAAAACTCTACCCTTTTCAAATTTCCAAAAGAGATGGAAAAAAATTGCTTTGTTTCTTCAGGAGCAGAATTAGTTTAAGAATATCACAGAAATTTATCTTAAATTATTTACAAGGATCCTGGAAAGCCACATCACTGAAAATCAAGAATAGCTAAGAAAAACTAAGAATTGTGCCCACTAGAAATTTGATTCCTTACTACTTTTTTAAAAAATCTGTCTTGATAGCAGTTTGTAATAATAACTGGTAGCATATACAGTATCATTTCTTCATGACATGCCACTAGCAGCCAATCTTGGTAAACAAACTGATTAAAAGATTATCTGTCATCCAGGGTTTCATCATCTTCTACAGTGATTCACTTGTTTGGAATCAAGGCACAGTCTGAAGTCACTGAATGGAGTTGATGAGGCTAATGCTTCACAAATAGAAAATGAAAATCATCTGAAAGCCAGGGAGAAAATCCTCACTGATTATTGCCAACTTGTTGGTAGGATTCTAATCGTATGGTCTCCATGCATGAATCACAGAAACCATCGGTTGCGGCAAAGCATATCACTTCCTCCAGTGGCATGAGCCCTCTGCTGTACCCTCTATTCACCTGGTGACGGTGATGACAAAGACACTTACTCCTGCTGCAGTCATGACCACACAGGCGTGAGCAGTCCTTCCACAGTTGTGTGTGTCAGAGGGCATTGGAGGGGGGAGTGAATTCCAAGGACTGGAGTGGTAGAACAATTCCAATCTAGCATGGTCTGTCTTGAATTCTAAGAATATGTTTTCATAACTTGGAGGAGGGCCAGATCATGGAAAGGGAAAACTTAAATATTAACGCTTTTTGCCTATCATGATATCATAAAGATTAATCATCCAAATGTAACTTTCTGAGCTCTACAAAAGGTCATGTGAAATCAAATAGACATCTGATCCCAAGCCCTCCGGGCAATCTTCTCTGGCCTGTTTTGTTACCGCTGCCTTGAGCTGAGGATGTTGATTATTGTTTTCTGAAAACTTTAAGCCTGATTTCTAGCACCTCCTGCTTTTCCCCAAATCCAAAAAAATCAATGTTAATCAACTTGAGTATTTTCACATGCAAAGAAAATATTTGAACATGGGACAGTGTGGATATTCTCCCAATGATCAGGATTTTCAAATTTCTTGTTCTTTCCAGATCCTCTCTTCCCCCCCAAAATTATACTCTCTTAAATTAATTTAACCCCTTAGCCTTCCTTTTTTGTTTATTTGTTTGTTTTTGTTTTTGTTTGAGATGGAGTCTTGCATCTTGCTCTGTTGCCCAGGCTGGAGTGCATGGCGCCATCTCGGCTCACTGCAACCTCTACCTCCTGGGTTCAAGCGATTCTCTGCCTCAGCCTCCCAAGAAGCTGGGATTCAGGTGCCCACCACCATGCCCAGCTAACTTTTTAAATATTTTTTAGTAGAAAAGGGGGTTCGCCATGTTGGTCAGGTTGGTCTTGAACTCGTGACCTCAGGTGATATGCCCACCTTGGCCTCCCAAAATGCTGGGGTTACAGGTGTGAGCCACTGCACCCGGCCTAATCCCTTAGCCTTCTATTAATAATACAAAAACATGTGTCCTGCCCTAAGATACATAACTTTTCAGTAATTATGAAAGGATATACCTATGCTTAGTTTTTATTTGATGATGCTGTTCTTATTTTATTTTAATTCACCACTATTTTCCACAGGATGTCCCATAGAACAAGTACTTTCTTAGGGATGAGAATTATGTATTATTTATTTAGAACAAGGGCAAAGTTTAATTCTCAGTACATGGCAAAGCTGATCTCATTCCTGAAGAGTATAGAGTAATGTACTTCTAGAACTTCATCTTCTATCCAAATCCATTAAATTAAAAGGGATTGAGGGTACTGAGTGGGAAAATAGTCAACATTTCACTAAGTAAAATGAAAGTCATCTCTCTGAAATTAGTTTGGCTTATGTAACTCTAGCTAGATAGAAATGTTTGTCCCTGACACACTGAAATCATTACTTAAAAGCAATGTTTGCATTTAGGGGAAAAACATGGCCATTGTAAGTTTGCCAAGTTGAAGGTAAGAAGGATGGATGGTGAAATGGAAGCAAAGAATGATTCAGCAAGATTAGTATTGTTGGATAAGGATAGTTGATGTGTCACACAACAGAGCCATCTTCAAAGTTTGACTTCAAAGAAAATTCTCCAAGAAAACACACTTGTGCATGTACACACATACGTACACACACACACACACACACACACACACACAAAGCAACCACAAACACTTGGTAGTTTTTCCCTTTTACTTGTGCCAACAAACTTTTCCATTCTACTTGGTCTAGGATTTTCTTTTCCTTTTTGATATGCTTCAAGTCTGGCATCATTGAAAATAAATTTTATTAGATGTGTGGCTAGACTCAGTTTAGACCCTTGTGTTTTACACTTCCTAATATACATAGCTCATAACTTCTCCTTCTAGACCACAGTAGTCTAGAATCTGTCTTCCCACTGTGTTAAGAAGTACCCCAAAATTTTAGAAAATATTTTACAGTGATGTAAAATTACCTTAATAAAATCAGAAACTCTATAAAATATTTTAGCCTTTTACACCAATGCTAAATTCTAAACCTAATTTCATGTTGTAAATTACTTTCCAGCTTAAACTGAAAAGTTTAGACCTTGTGACACTCAAAGCCAAGTGATCAAATTCTGCCTTCTTTGAAGTGCCCCTTCTTTGATAGTAACTGCTTCCTTCCTCAGTAATTTTCTAACCAGCAAAACTCTCAAAGACCTTTCTCTGGAATATTCCCTATCATTCATTTCTTCTTTATTATCCTGCCAAAATCATTTCTTCACTGGGACTTTTTGCTATAATTAGCTCAATTGTGTTGTTTTAACTCAAAAGTAATAATCTCATATGCTACATCTACATTACAAATTCCAGAAACAGAGATTGGTTCTCTTTCCTGCATTTCCTGTTTTTTTCTGAGGATCCAGTAATGTGCCCTTGAATGCAATAAATGCTTACTCACCCTCTCTAGTAGGCTGTTTCCATCTGATTCTGTCTTTCATCCCTTCAGTGATTATTTGTTATAAAGTACCTAATGTGTTTTGAGCACACTCTGAGGCTTTAGTTACATACCATGCAGTGAAATAGATTTGGTCCCTGCCCTCGTGTACCTTACAATCCCGTGATGAAACCCACATAACAAGAACTTCTCTGGACAAACATTTTATCCAGTGAAGATGTTTTTAAAATGTGAGTAATTAACATTTTCCCAGGTGAAGCTCAGCCTGACTTGCAGCCAACTAGCTACAAACTAAGATTTCTTTGTTGGAATAACAATTTCAGCTGGCAAACTGTGAATCACAAGACTTTTCCAGCCCTCACTAAATGTGATAAAGGCCATTTATGTTGAAGCCAGGTGTGTTTTAGTTGCGTTTTCATAATGTAGGAAATGACATCAACAAATTTTAAAATGTTTAATGACTGAAACAACAATTACACTTAAATTCCTTTTCAAATCCAATGAATCATACTAACTTGTCACCTCTGTCCCTCTCCCTCCCCACAGAAAAAGAGCTCCTCTCTTAGGACAGTCCCCACCAATCCCTCCTGCCCCCTTTAAATTCTCTTCATGCCCATCCCTTCTGTAACTAAGAAATCTTGGGCTGACTACGCCCACTTCAGGAAACATGAAGAGGACTCACATTTTTAGTTGCCTTTAGAGATGGGAGCAGGGTAGACAGAGTCAGGAGTGGAAATAAGATTTTCTCAAGATACGTATGTTACAGAATTTTGACTTTTAAAGATTGAGAATGTATAAAAACTTAAAAGAAAAAATGTAAAGAAAATAAAGAGAGGCAGTATGGTGAGAAAATGAAGTGACTGGAGGAGACAGCACAGCCAATATTTCACCCACAATCATTAGTCTTTATCTCATATTTCTGGACCCCAGATTTTCCCTGGGGTGACTTATGAAATTTCAATTAACCAATCACCAACAAAGAACAGGAGCAAAACTGAGTCAACAAAAGGCCCTTGATACTTAAGTTCAGATTCCTTGGCAAACTTTCAAAGTTTTTCTTTGGCAGACCTCAGCACAAACCCGTAAGAATATGTCTATGTCTTTGAGTTCATCTTCATGTTCTTCATCCAGCTTTCTTATCTGTAACATAGAACAAGTTTCACTAAAACCATACCAAGCTTCTGGTTCCATCTATAGTGTGTTGGAAAGCCACACCTGAAAAACCAAGCATGTCAGATGCAGAACTGTATGCTATGCCTTCACTGCTGTTCAAGAGGAAAGTGTGAGTGCTGCGGGAGGAAGGCAGGAGGAGGACCAGAGACTTGGTGGGGGGTGAAGCTTCATGGAGAAGAATAACTAAAAGTAGTAAAAAATAATGCTGCAGGAAAGCAGTTTGAGATAACTAAGGCAGCATTCCAGTGTATCCACTTAAGGAAGGGCTGTTAATGCAGCTATGCTTTTGTGGATAAGAAATTAACTTACTGGGTAATTGGATTCTCAGAAGATCTTTCAAGACTCTCTCTCTCTGTCTCTCTCTCTCTCTCTCTCTCTCTCTCTCTCTCTCTCTCTCTCTCTCTGTGTGTGTGTGTGTGTGTGTGTGTGTGTGTGTGTGTGTGTGTTGATAAAAACTCTCACTTCCAGTAAATTTAAAACAAAGGCTATGTCTTACTAATATATCTCATTGGTTATTGAAAAACTGTCACTCTCTAGTAAGTGGTGGCAAGAATTGAAGTTGAAAGTATAATACGACTACAAAATGTGCATTTCTAGATACACAGCCTTTCCCCAAACAGACTTGGCAGAGTAAGTTAGTTTAAATGGTTGCTTCCATCTGTGTGGTAAAATTGTGTTTGACATCTGTTTAAAATGAGCATATGATGCTTGAAAAAGAAGGGCAAGCCTCACTGTTGAACGTGATGGAATCTGGGGCCATGGTCCTCGTGTGTGTGTACAAGCTCACAGCTCACACGGTTCGCCAGTCTTGTCAGCTGTTACTACCTTTTTATCTGGATCCTGTTAACTTGAGATTTGTTCTTAGCTTATGGAAAAGGTCTCCCTGTGTTTTCTTCCTCCAGATAGGCGAACTCTCTTGGCAGAGTTCTTCAAAGGCAGTTAAGTCAGTAGCATCATGGAAATTTGGCAGCATGTTGAGTACCAGAGCAGATCTAAACGTTAGTTTAGGTTATTTTCACAAGCAATTGTTCCACAATTTTTCATCCCTTTATTTTAGCAGTTAGCATAATCACTCACAACTGTTCCTAAAGTGAACCTGCTTGTCCATTCTTATTGTGTAGTCTGAATAACCATGAAATTTAAATTTAAATTGGATACATAAACATTGCAAAACATGAATAAATCATCCAAGGCCTGAATTGTTCAGTTTTCACTTCCTTAAAGTTAATGCAAAAAGTCAAATTGAGGCCTTTGATTAAATAAAAAATTGAACAACTAGATTACTTTGATGTATTTCATCTCTGGTAATTTTGTTCTTTTGCCTTTTAAATCATTTTTAATTGCTTTGAGTGTTGCCAAAATGCATGCTCAGCCTAATCTATTATAACTATAAGTAGGAACTTTGTGCCTCTAATAAAAAAAAAAAAGAAGATGTATATTCTAGATGATTTAATCCACCT